CAGAGGGGAAATTCCCTATACTAGAAAAGGGCCTTCTGGGCATCAGAATGTCAGTATTTTCATACTAAATATTTTCATATTAATTCATAGAATTTTTTGCAGAAAAAGGCCTGTCCTCATCAGCCCGAGTTGGCCAAATAGCCTGCTATTTTGTGGTTCGGGGAAATTAGCCCGAATTAACAAACCGCGTCTTCATCAGCTTGAAACTTGAGCCTGAGAAATTGGCTCAGTGTTCGCGCATGGGTAGTGCAAGATGGACCCTTCAAGATTAACGTGCATGCCCGGATCGAGAAATCTTCCAGAGTCTTCGGGCGAGTGGAGACGGACCACAAATAGCGAGCTTTCTTGCAAACTGACCTGAGGTATCTCGGGAAGATTTCACCAGCAAGTAGCTTGCTTTTGCGTCTTCACCTGCCAAATAGCCCACTATTTCATGACCTGGCTAATTTCCCGGTTCCGAAATAACGGGCTACTTGGCCAACTCAGGCTGATGAAAACAGGCCTAATGAGTCCAGGTACACATGTGGTACAGCAATTTTACATCAAATGGAAGCTTTGCAGGGTCAAATAATCATCATTTACAAGATATCAAGAATAGATCATGAAGTTGGAAAATAAAAAGAAGGAAGTAAAATGTATCAATAGTTGCATATTTCCATGACCATATTTGGTCAAGACTAGATACGTGCACAAAGCACTAAACATAATAGTTAATACTCGACAGTCAAAGTGAAACTTACAAGTGTCTACCTGATAGAAACCTATCTCTTCAGACATCAAGATTATTTTTTCTTTGAAGCATTATGTGATCAGTAGGACCCTGGAAATGTTTTGTGGTTTATTATTATTTATTTTATTTTTTTTAATTCATAGGCAGAATTCATAACAAATCTTCAGCCAGAGTGTAATACAAGAAAAATTCTTTCTTCAAATGAGAGACAGAACAGTTTATAGCTAAAGTAAAAAGAGGGAAATATAATTTACCATATATTCATACATGTATATATTTCCATGACCATATTTGGTCAAAACAACATCTATGCACAAAGTACTTAACATAATACTTGACAGTCAAAGTGAAACACACAAGTGTCTACATAGAAACATGTACACTGTACATACAGTGTACAGTACTTAGACATCAAGAATTGTTTTCTTTGTGGCATTGTGTGATCAGTAAGTAAAGACCTTGGAAATGTTTTGTTGTGGTTTTTTTAATTCATAGGCAGAATTCACAACAAACCTTCAGACTTTTTCAGTGTGGCTGTTACAGCAAAAAAATGTTTCTTCATGTAAATTTTGTATCCATACATGTATTTTGCAAAATAAAATTGTGGAACAGTTAATAGCTCAAATAAGAAGAGGGAAGTAGAATTTTTAAAAAAAAATTCAAGACCATATTTGGTCAAGGCAATCTACATGCACAAAGTACTACCGGTAAGCATAACATACATTATGCAATTGACATTTAGAGTGAAACTTACAAGTGTTTACATGATAGAAACCTATCTCCTTAGAATTCAAGAGTGATTTCTTCTTTGTAGCACCACATTGTATGTGATCAGTTAAAGACCTCGAAATATTGTTGGTGTTTTTTTCTTGGATTGTCTTTTTTAATTCTTATGCAGAGATCACAACCAACGTTCAGATCTAGGGTGATACAGCTAAAATTCGTTATTCATGTAAATGTTTGTATTCACAGTCCATACATGTATTTTTCAAATAATGGTGCGGAACAGTAAGTAGCAAAAACAAAAATGCCCCCCCCCCCAAAAAAAAAAAAAAAAACACAACAACAACAACAACAACAACAATCACAACAACAACAACAACAATCACAACAACAACAACAAAAACAACAACAACAACAACAACAAAAACAGTGATAAAATTTAATTTTGATTTTGATTTTTGTTCTCGTTTCCCATTTTGGTTCTTTTCCTTTCTGTTTTGCATTCTAAATAAAGATTCATAAAGCATTTGGATTGAAATAATTTACATGCATTAGTGATAAAAAAAACTTATTTTCAGATGTAAATATTTGTGAATTTATGGAGTGAAATGACTCATTGGTAGGAACACACCCTTATCTCATTTATATCCTGGTCATGACAATACCATGATCCCATTTTGATGACTTCACATAGCCATGATATACACCGGGCATACAAATACAATACAGTATACATCCAATGATTCAGTCCAATTCATTTAAAACGGAGGGGGGGGGGGGGCAGTTTGAACAAGAAAGGTTGTAGGGTCCCAACTTGACGTATTCAAAAAGAACACTGAGGTATATATATACATAAATGTTGTTCCAGTGAAGAAGAATTGACTAATTTTTCATGAGTAAAAGCATCAAATATTCTATTTCTATTTGAAAATTTGAGCTCATTGCAGTTGGAAAATGGTTGGATATAACTGACATCAATTGTATGAATACCCCCCCCCCCCCCCCCGCCCATTACCATTCTTGGACACCCCCATATATATTTTTTTAAATAAAAATGAAATAAAAATGATATAAAGAAGTCATATTTTATTACATGGGAAACTAAAAACATGCTGTTTTTAGTTCTTTATTTGTTTACCCTTTTGAGGTTTATTTACTTGTTTGTTGGTTGATTAGTTGGTTTGTTATTTAAAAGTTAACAACCAGGGTTCATACTACATCAAATGCTATTATGAGGGACTTCATTGCTGCAAATGTGTAGGTAAATGAGGACAAAATAATTGCCTTAACCCCTGGAAAATTACAAAATGATTTGGGAGGTCTTGAATTGAACGTTCAGAAGATGTACATGACAGAATCACATACAGTATACTGCCTGAACAATATATGTGTACTGTAAATATTTCAGCAATATTTAGGCAGCATAAAAGATGACACATTTTGTCTGGGGAAAAATCCTGGAGCAGACAATTTCACACCTCGATGGTGGTTGTAATGATAGGATGATCGTGATCCAATTTGCCACAAATCTGGAAAAGCGATTTTGCAGGTCTATCTCAGCTGAAGTGTACCCTTGAAGGTTATACCTCGTCTGTTGGTAGGCAGAAGGGTGCTAATTTCTTTTAAACGATATGAGTTAAGATATGAGTTAAAGCCGTTCTGGCTCTTAACAAATTAGAGGTACATGTACCTTAATGTGTTGTGACTTCCCTTACTTACATGTATCCCTCCATCTTTTTAATTCTCTATACTTCTCTCTCTCATAATCTGTCTCACTTTCTCTTTCCTCCTTCTCCTCCTTCACCCTACCTTTCTTTTTCTTTTTCTGCTTTTCTCTCTCTCTCTCTCTCTCTCTCTCTCTCTCTCTTTCTCTCTATCTCTTTCTCTTTCTCTCTCTCTTTCTCTCTTGCCAACTTTGAGAATAGTACATGTATTTTGTTTCTATCTATTCTACTCTACATATTCCCTTTTCCACATATCATTATCAATCATAAATTTATTGCCCATAAATAGTCCAGATGCTGACTTTACATACATGCAAAGTTTACACCCCTTCGACTCCTAGCAGATACTATAATAGCTCATCTTGAATCTGTCCCAATATAATCATTTGCATAATCCCAATAAAATTATGAATGAAAATATTCAAATCAGCCTTCAGGAAGCATTGCATATATGGATAAACTGCTTACCGTATATGGAAGCCGTCATAAAAATCAACAGTCTCAAATTATCATTGCATGTCTTCCGTCTTATTTTTGTATTTCTTGTCCTCTCCTGCTCTTTCATTTCCATTTCTCTTATCTCTTTTCCCCCTCTCCTATTCAACTGAACTTCCCTTTATCTCCCTTTCTTTCTTTCTTTCTCTAAGTTATTATCTCAATCACCTGCCCCCTTCCTTCCTCTCTCTTTACCCTTATCTTTCTTATCTCTCTTTCACTCTACACTATGAACACTCTCTCTTCTTTTTTTGGATTCTGTATCCCCCCCCCCCTCTCTCTCTCTCTCTCTCTCTCTCTCTCTCTCTCTCTCTCTCTCTTTCTCTGTAGTTTAACTGTCACTCAAATGATCACCCTCACTGCCACTTTATATGCTCAATATTCTCTTCTTCCCTCCTCCATCCTTTCTCTATCTGCCCCCCCCCCCCCAAACACTCAATCTCTCTCTTTACCTTTGTATTCTGTATCTCCCTCTCTCCCTCCTCTACCCCTCCTCCCTTCTCTCTCTCCCCCCCCCCCTCTGTCTCTCTCTCTGTCTCTCTGTCCTTCTGTCTGTCTGTCTGTCTCTGTCTGTCAGTATGTCTGTCAGTATCTCTCCCCCCCCCCCTCCCCAATCTCTCTCTCTCTCTCCCTTTCTCTATATAACTCACATGAACCCATATCATCCACATCACTTTGAATCATACGGTTAGTCACCGTCACCCTACAGCCTATCGGCTTTACATCACTCATCAACGATGAGAACTAGATTTGCTCATTCACAAACGAGTTCTCTTCAAATTCGTTGTCAGCGACGATGACAAATTCACCAAGATGAATATTTCAGACAAAGGAAAAATTAAGAATACATTACTTCTAAATCCTGAGCTGAGAATGTCTAAGTATCATTCTGTCTGCATGCACAGCAAAGTGAAGATATTTTTGTTCCTACTTCCTTTTCATTCTACATCCATAACCTACGTACCAATGTTGCATATTCAATACAAGTTTTGGGCAACACAGGAAATATCTATAGGAAATATACATTCATTATTACAAGTGTCTATTAATTACTTTCCACATGATCACATTACTATCATGATGTCTGGGATTTAAAAAGGGGCAATACAAAAGTAAAGAATTACTCTACTCTTGCTTTCCAAGCTCAATTCATACACACCATGCATACTTGGTGTTTAATATTTCCTGTTCCAAATCGGAAAGTAATTACATGGAATGACAGGTGCCAAAAAGTGAGGTTACTTTGTACACTGCATCATGAAGACCAGAGAATGATGTACAAGATCTATAAAATTCAAGCAAAATATTATAAAAAAATGAATACTTACTGACGGTAGATCCCAGCGTGTCTGTGACCTGTCTTCACTGTAGTAGTAAGGCTCTCCCTGCGTTGGAGTTGCTTTATACCACTATGGAGAAAGGCAAGAAAATATTGGAGTATATTACACTGCAACATCATACCACGCTATCTACAGTACATACACAGAGTTTTCATACAAGGAAGTAGATGGGTATTGAAGAGTCTTTTTAAGAGCTTCAAGTTGTAGTCCTTATCAAATGTTTATTGCAGGGAGGGACGTTTTTATTTTGATTTATATGGATGAGAGCTTTGTATTGTTTGCAATGACTGACTGGTATCTATTGGCGGTTAGGGAAAGTTTACTACCCATAATTTTCAGTAAAGAGGGTTTTCTGGATGAGCAAGGGTTGGATTTTCTGATGGTGGGTTCATTGGTTAAGAATGACTTCTAGATACATTCTCAGGGAACGCAATTTCACTACATTATCATCTGTTTGGGGAAAGAAGGGCATTATTTCATGTACTTTAACACAGAGATAACACCTTTCTCACTCTGGAAAGGAGAGATGTCCGAAATTGATATCATTACACTTGGACTGTAAGTCCTTGTATTTTAATGGCATGGTTCTAAAACATAATCTTGGCTGAAGAGTCATATTTTCATAGTGTAAACAAAAATGATTTGGAGGGTGTGGTTTCATATACCATTAAAAAAAACTATATTAGTATGAGGAAATGCATGATAGGCCTAAATGCACACCCATACACATTCTAATGAAACTTTCAACAAATGAAATGTGATTATAATTAAAGGGCAAAATCTGTTATTTTTGTAAATTGCTTTTTTTTCAACCATTTTCAAAAGTCTTTCCCAAAATTAATTAAGACAAAATCTATTTCAAAATGTTTCAATTATGTTTTCAAAGTGACTTGAATAAGTGAATGAACTGACTTTAATAGCTTTTATTATGCATGAAGACAAAATCTATTTCAAAATGTTTCAATTATGTTTTCAAAGTGACTTGAATAAGTGAATAAACTGAATTTAATAGCTTTTATTACGCAAATTGCCCCATCCCTTCCATGTCACTTCGTTAAACTTGTTAGCTTCTTCTTCTACATGTACATTTATAAATTGATTGAAAATGGACACCCCTACAAATAAATGGAGTGTACCTTTTCTGATGTGATCTCATTGATGAAAACAGGGTCTCTTGTGACAGTCTGTTCCACTCTCCAACCACGGGGTACACTCAGATCATCTTGCGGAGGGACAACTGTTGTTGGACTGTGGGGCTACAAGAAACAAAACAAAACAAAAAATAATAACAAATGGATCAGGAGACTTTAATAATGTGGGGTGTTGCAAGAAAGTTGTAATCAAATGCAAATCCCCAAAATCAAGCGTAAGTCTTGTGATTAATTGCAAATTGCAATAATTATATTTATTTCCTTGAAGAAAATTTTCAATCGTACATTCCCCCTCAGTATAATCATTGCAAATAACCCCTATATGAAACAAGTCTATTCCATCATCAATACATTTTTCAAAAGGTTATGATTTTTTTCTGTAAAGAGTAAATTGGAGAAGAGCTTGCAAGATACATGTACGTCACAGCGTTTGGAAACTTGTGTTTCACCGATGACACCTACACAAATTCATAACTTTCCTATTTTTAATTGGATATTGCTATTTTTCACAAATATGTTTCTCTCATTTTTCGGACTTCTCCTTAAAAGGTATAGACCAGTTCTGGTCATGCGATTGCATTGTGAAAGAAACGTTGTGGAATCAATCAGAAAAGGTTGATCATGTAGTAAGTGTTGGTGTGTACTGCAAGGTTCTTGAATCATCAAAATGATAAGAAATTTGGCCCAGTATTGGTAAAGTTACAAGCACTGTGTACAGGAAGAGACTATGTGATATCTATCCAGTCCAGATAGATATGATAATTTACCACATCAATTAGTAGGCAGTTTCCCGGCAAAATTTGTGTCATCACGTATTAGCAAAACATATTCTTCACATGATTGGTAATAAGAGCTGCCATTTCATTTTTGAGAGGGGGGCATTTCCAAAACTAGTCTATAACTTTAACCCTAAAAAGGCCGGGCTATTTGAGGTCTTAGTACGGCCGGGGGGGGGGGGGGGGGGGGGGGGGGGGGGGAATTATGGCCCCCTTAACATATTTATGGTAATTTATGCAAATAAAGTCCAAAAAAACAAATTTTTACCCATAAATCATATATTATTCATATAGCATTCTTTTTCACTACATATATTCATTAGACCATTCTGAATAATAATACAACAAAAAATTTGGAAGAGCCAGCTTATTCCTTATGTTATCCCTTGTTTTGATAATTTCTTATGTATTTCATTGTTTTTTTAACTTACAGTGTATGTATTTCATTGTTTTTGTTGTTTTATTTCATTTCTTACTACAATTCAACTATTTTGACTTCCTAAACAACCACCTAAACTTGAAAAAGACCCAATAACCAATGTTTGATCTGTTTTTAGGAAAAATGACTTTTCCATATGTTTTGTACACAAATCACGAAAATGAGCGATTTTCGGGCTGACATGCAAAGACAAAAGGTCACGTGACCTTGTAGCCGTAAGTCCGATTTTCAAAAAAATTCTTTTAAAAGTTGCGCCAGACTCGAAAGAAAAAAGTCAGCGAGCGGCGGGGCGCCATCCATATGCGTTCCCGAGCAATCAGAAAATTTGTGGCCTTATTAGGGTTAAGCTAGTCTTGCTTGTACATATAGCTGATAACTACAGCAATATACATGTACCCAATACTCATTATGACCACTCTCAAAAATCACTTAGCACCTCATTTAAAATACATTTGGCATCCAATGATGTATTGCAAATTGCAAACGCACAGTGATGTCCATACATTAACACTCTAATGTGCATCTGGCTAAATCATTCATCTACTTCAGAAGTTCAGCTGCCCAATGCAAAAACAGCTGAATTTCCTGTAATTACAAATAATGACAACAAAGATGTGCAATCTATTTTAAAAAAAAACCTGCACAAGTTGTCACGAATGAGTCATGATAAAACCCCCTAATAAACCAGAAGTTAATCATATGACAGTATTAAATAGCTGAGGCATACATGTAGGCTTGGGTGACATCATATCGCAGTTTGCGTAATGGAATCGTTAAAGGGAAATTGGCACGAAGAATGTTTGAATAAGTACTTATCTGGGCTTTATCTATAAATGATGCATGTTGTTAATGATTCTTAAGATAATAATTGAATGATTTATTGTGTATACTATTTATTATTTATTTACTCACAATTTCATATATTTATCTATTCCTTTATTCATTTATTTGGTAACTTACTTATTCATTTATTCTTTTCTTTCATTCATTCATTCATTCATTCATTCATTCATTCATTCATTCATTCATTCATTCATCCATCCATCCATCCATCCATTCATTCATTCATTCATTCATCCATCCATCCATCCATCCATCCATCCATCCATCCATCCATCCATTCATTCATCCATTCATTCATTTATTCATTCATTCATTCATTCATTCATTCATTCATTCATCCATCCATCCATCCATCCATCCATCCATCCATCCATCCATCCATCCATCCATTCATCCATCCATTCATTCATTCATTCATTCATTCATTCATCCATTCATTTATTCATTCATTTATTCATTCATTCATGTATTTATGGGTTGATTGATTAATCACTTGACTGATTGATCAATTGGAATGATTGGTTGCTTGGTTATTGGTGGATTGATGAGCTGATTATTAAAACGTATGACCGGTTGTTCTAAATGTAGCCAACAGTTTATTTGATAGAATGATCAAAAGATCAATTTATTTATTGATTGATTGATTGAACTATTAATATGTTGTCGATGATTTGTTAATTAATTGGATTTATATTTATATTCATGATAAAAGGATAATGACTCGATTAAAAAGTATTCAAATTTGCATTTCTTTTCTTATTTAAAATCTGTATATATCAATTTGAAATCCAACTACCACATAAGTCTGTGAATATTGATGTGCATCCCCTCTTTCTTTTCTCTTCTTTTTTCTGTCTTTTCCCCCTTTTTACCAATATTTTGTTCTTCCATATTTGTATTATTATGTATCCTTTGAGGGTAGTCATACTATCAAGCTTTGCTTATTTTGTCAACCCTCCTGTTTGATGTTCTCGATTAGTTACACCCAGCCTTACCTTATTCTACATATATTCTTTTGTCATGTGTAAATTTGCAATATTTGTTTGTTATATATTTGTAAAAATGCAAAAGAAAAAGAAAATCAAACAGAAATAAATAAATCAAATCAAATCAAATCAAAAACAGTTGATTAGATACAAGTAATGTAAAATCGGAAACTGTTGCAATTTTTGTTTTCTTCAATTTGAAACATAATTCATTAGATATTGCATCATAACCTACATGTGTAATAACAAAACCTCCCCTCAACTAAGAAAATCAAGAGAAAAACAACATTATTGTGTAACTGACAAAGCAAGTGAATTACATTATGACAGACAAAAACTTCCTGACAGGGTAATTCTGCTATTATGAATAAAACTATTTTAGGCCAATACTTCTGTTGTTAAATACTGGTTTCTCCTTGGCATTTGAAGTCATGTGGGTTTTAATGACACAAAGTCCTTTGTTTTTGGATGTTTCGGATTACTTCCGTTCATATGCAATATCCTGATCAGTTATTCCCCAGTAATCAGAAAAGCATAAACATGTACATGTACATACATGTAGTGTAATCACTGAAATAAAATGGTAGGGGACTGAGTCCCCCCCCCCCCCCCCCTTTGAAAAAAAATAGGCAGAGCACTGGTAACTGAATTCTTCTTGCTTTGAGCAGACAATGAGTAATGTACATGTATATTAATACATTTCTACCATCACCCCGACCCAATTGTACCCAATGATGTCAGAGCAAATGTTGCAACAACCCCCCCACCCCCCTCCTCCAAACCCCCAGTCAAAACAGACGTCATAAGGCCAGGAGAGCCAGGTCTGTATTGGGGTAAGGTGAAGAGTTCGCTTCTTTCACCCTTCCCACTTACGTCTGTCTAATTCCTGCGTCGGAAATTGAAGCTAATTCTCTCCATTTTCCGTTTGCAGTTAATCACTTTTGAGACTGGGTGTTTGAAAACAAAGGCATGAGACATACTGTACATTGTCTGTGGTTTAATAATTGGTCTGTGGTTTTAATTGGTCAGAAGCAGCAGCGATGATTTGCTATTTATAACGATTGCCACATGAAAATAGAATGATGATTTCCCTAAAGACAGTGATTATGAAATCATAATCAAAAATGGTGTCAGCTCCTCATATTGACAAATTCCATAAAAGCTAAATAAGTTTGATGGCCTGTACTAAACAAGATTAAAGTTTGCTACTTTACAAAGTTTGTGCGTTTGACAACAATAAATAATATAGTATGATAAATATCTATTAAGAATTTAATGGACAGCAGATTTCTTCATAATGTAATCACTGTTGAAACATTATAGATGATCGACTTCCTACTTGTATGTCCTTTTTAGGGTTTGTGCTAACTTTTGTTACTGCTTTGTTTTGTTTTTTGTTTTGTCAATTGCAATTATCGGAACATTCATGTATAATGATGAATCAGGAGAGCTAAATGGATCAGGCGTTTGTTTGCCATGAACCAGATATTCAACTGAACAAACAAACATCACACCTTGATCCTGAAAAAAGTCATAAAACCCCCTACATGTCTAAAACGATTGATGTTCATGAAATAATAACTTAATTTAATAATGTACATGTACATGTAACATTCTTATTATTACACAGGCTTGAAATAAAACACTGAAAGAAAAAAAAAATTGTATTGCCCTTTGCGACTGACCCCAAAATCTTGAAGTATACAGTCTGCTTTTTTGCTATACCAGTTTGGCTATCCTCCTTTAAAGCCCCACTGTCCTACTTGTAGCTACTTGCTCCCTCTTTATATAAAACTTCCCCAATCTGTGCCTGTTGGTCCCCCATGATCCTCTTTTTCTTATGTTAGTTGAGAGCCGAGTTAATGAGATACATGTAGCCACCTGTCAGTGACCTCGCTGTGTGGTCTAATCCCTTCTGGCCCAGTAGTGTTGACGGTCTTTAAAAGGCACCTTATGAATTATTGTAATCACAACAATCATCGCTTTACCACAAATGGCATCATGATGGTTTCCTATAAAGACGGTTTCGATTATAAACAAGATTTGCAATCAAAAGTAAAAATCAAAAGTAAGATGATGGATCCAGGGGTAGTGTTCTATCTTTAGGTCATCTTTTATTTCATCAACAGATCCTTCTAATGATTTTAAAGTATACCAATCACCTTTAATAAGAGAAATGATTTGGGTACAGCTAGAATGTATAAATTCAACCAATTTTTTTCTTCTTCTCCCTCCATTCTATAGGGTTGCGGATAAGGAGTATGAGGGGAAAAAAAGAATAACTTAACCTCGGACATGAGTCGGACTTGGGTTCCATGCGAGCCTGTAAGGGTGCAAGAAGTCTACTCAAGACAAATTATGTTTTGGCGATTGGTACACTAAATCCACTGCCAACAGGAACAAAAGACAACTCTTAAAGGCCGTCTGTACTAGTTTGGCTAGAAGGGATTAGACCTCCCAGGGTCGTCACTGACAGGTGGCTATCTCATCAACTCAGCTATCAATAAACATAATAAAAAGGGGATCATGGGGAACCAATGGTCACTGATTAGGCATTGTTTTCTATAGAGGGAGCAAGTAGCTACAAGTGGAACAGTGGGCCTTTAATCTCCAACTCACCGTGCTTCCCCCTCCTCTTCCCGACCCTAGGTGGGGCTTCTGAGATCCTTTGGGACCTGTCTGGGGTACGTCATAGCTCTGCGGGCTGCCGCTGCTGGTGTCTGATGGCAGCCGATGCGCCCAGTTGCGGGCTCCAGGGTTCTTGACCACGCCATCCCCACCAGAGTTCTGGGGGATCTCTCTGCTCGGTGTCGGTGTGTACTAGAAGACAAAGTGAGAGAGGGATGTTACTTGTAGTGGTCGTTATTTTTACCTGACTGCTAAGAAAGCGTAAATGCTTGTAAGTAAGCTACCAGAGGACCGACGGATTTAGGTCCTCTCCGAGAGACCTGGTAATGAGGATTAATGCCTTACCAAAGGGCACTAGGGCATCGCCTTGATTTCGAACCCGGTTTTGAAATGTAGCAACTAGCAACAAAAAAGAAGATATATACAGTGTAAGCCATCACTGGAACAGATCTGAAATTGAAAAATTAACGGATTGATGGTTTGTTTAGTACCTGATTACTGAATTAGAAAGCATGTGTAATTTGCCTCCATGATGCTAAATATCAAAAGTAGAAAGATGGAACAAGAGAAGAAAGAAGGAAGTATACGCATTCCATGCCAACATCGAGTGTACGTCAGTTTACAGTGGATTTATTTCAATATATGTTTACAGTCACAACAAGATACAAGTATTGCCTGCTGAGTGCCAGGAGTGTGTTGAATCTACATGTATACAAATGTACAAAAATAAACACACAAGTTCATACCTCTCACAATGTTCCTTCATCATGAACATTCTATTCTCCCTACTCTTATTCCTAATGTAGAGCTACAAGTACGGGTAGATTTCCCCTTTCCTGTATTTTTTATTTGCTGTTACATGTATGTAGCACTTGCAGTGAGTTTGAAACCTATAGCTGCTACCGTTGCCAAATTAGAAGGTATTTTAAACCCTCGTGTGCCTGAGTGCAAGTATTCACAATTGCTACAAGTGAAAACGTGAGTGCGGTTCAATAGTCTCCTCTGAATGATCACTGGTCAGTACCTTCTTATCATCTTTTTCTTCCTCTTTGCTAGATGGAACTTTCACACTCCTTGATACCCTGCCAATCTTGCCCAACTTTGCTGAGACATGGGCCATCTTTAGGGACATCCTCTCATGGAAACCCTCGCTCCCTTCAACGCTCCCATCGCTTGACCGCCTCTCCTTTTTCTTCCGTCGAAAACCAAAGAACTGGTGAGATTTTTCTTTTCCAATGTCCGATGCTGATTCAATGTCTGACCCTGCGATGCTGTCCGTCTCGCCCTCCTCGTCAATGGCTTCAGAGATGCTGTTTAAAGAGGACAGACTGATGGACGACCCCCTGCGGAGTCCTTGAGGATTGTTGCCGTGACCTGCAGCATCGGCTTCGGCTTCGTCCCTGCGGCTTTGGTATTCCTGCTCCAGGCGGTCCACTCTGGTCTCAAGAGTCTGGAGTCTGGTCTCCACATCTTGATGCTCTGTTGCGAGTTTCTTGATCAAGCTTCCCAGTTCTTCCTCTCCGCCAGGGCAACCCTGCATGGTGGTCTCCTGGCGCTTTTGAGAATTCCTGCGATCCACAACCTCATAGATGTGGAAGGAAAGATCTCTGACAAGCTTCCCGCGGACACTACTCGATTCTTCATCGCCAATCTCTGTACCACCTTCCGTTAGTCCATCCAGCCGACTCTCCGTTTTGCTTAAATGCCCTTTTACTTCCTCCTGCTTTTTCAAAATACTCTTAACCTGCTCCAAGTCCTCATCACTGTTTTCAAATCCAAGAATTCTTCCATCATTACAACTTTCCATCTTGTTTTCTTAAGTTCCAGGGTATCTCCTAACCTCCAACATATTAGGTACATTGGTACTTCAGAACAAGAACGGAAAATGACCACTTATTAATCAACATTAGAACATTTTGGGACATCCCAAGCCGATGCAGACTGTACAGCACAATAAAAGATGAATGCAGGATGGCACTGAATTCTTGCGAGGTCCTATTGTTTTCAGTTTTCAAAATCCTCTCCAATTTCCTTATTTATTCATTTGCATCTTGGTCATGTGGGCCTTAAAGGAATCTTCTCTATTATTACATGTACTTTGTTTCCTGGAGCATCAATAATAGAGCCCTGTACACGTACATGTAGTACAGAGTACATGTCCTTTGTTGAAAGCTAGATGGGTTGTCATTACATCTGTGTCAAAGTATAGGAATTAAAAGGGGAAGTCCACCCTGATATTATAATGTAAGTCGATTTTAATCAAAGCAGAAAGTGAGAGGAGCAGGTCAGTAAAAGTAAAAGTTTACCTTATCAAGGTTGGTATTACTCACCATACATGTACATTGCACATTATTGTCCACTAGCAAACTTTTTAAACAAAGGCGTTTCTTGACAGCCTGAAAGCTTCACCAAGGCTTGCCCGACATATCAACAAGTAATGTATGCAGACTGGATTCCAAGTATTGCAGTTCATTTCATTCAAATAGCAGGTTAATGGAAAAGTGAAAACTTGTCACTAGATCCTCAGGAAAGAAACATCCATAGATTTGAATATGTTTAATAGTAACTCAGTCTATTCCATCTTTAGATGTCCATTCACCATGGTAACTATGTATTCACAGGTTTCTTTTTATCAACAACAATGAAATTTTGTTTAATTGAATGCTTTTATTTGATTGAGTAAAGGGTAAATTGTGCAATTGAACAAGGAAACCGTTGTTGCGATCTAGAATAGGGGGACTCTTATCTTTTAAACTGTAGGTTCTTCTACATGCACATGCTGTACCACATACTACATGTATAATTACCCAACCATTTGACATGGTCTTTAAAAATTAACAAAAATAGTAACATTCCTGAAAATGAAAACTTTCATGGAAATATTTTTGGCTTTATATTATCTGTTGGGGGCTTTAATTGGTTCCTACACGTATCTAGGTTTTGAGTATAATCAAACACTATCATGTCATACATGTAAGTACACTAAAAATAGATTCTGACATATTTGTGTTCAAGCTAATGAGCCATGGTACTATACAGCTTCAAGCTGCATAAATTTACACTGCAAGCACATAATATTGTTTTTGTCTCACATTCCAGTGTTTTGCTTCTTGTTTTGTGTGTGGGAATTCTTTGAAATGTACGTGTACATGTACATTGTAAGTACAATTACCTTGCACTTTTTTGCAACAATTTTTGTTTATGTTTTGTTTTGTGTTATATTTTAACTCTTCTCTCTTTTCCGTCCTTTTTGGACACTACTTTGTTGTTGTTGTTGATGCTGTTACTTTGTTTTGTTTTTTTAAAGAGTTTAATTTGAGTTTTTCAGCTCTGTTTCTGTTTCTATTTACTAGATCACTCTCTGCTGAGTCTGCTCAAATTTTATGTTATTTCCACTGATGAGAAATAATTTCATTGTGAGGTCCACAGAAAAAAAAATCAAACTAAAAGTGATGCAGTTGTTTCATCATGGTTTATGATTTACTGTACCTTATAAAATGCACCTACATGTACATGTACCTGCACATGTACAGTACATGTTAATCTGTGCAATACATACCGATATTTACAAATTAAAAACTGAATTATTATTATTTTTTTTGTAATACATTTTATCATCCAACAGTGTAGCGGGAGAGAAAAAAAATGTTTGCTAAAAAGATGATCCATACTATAGGGTATTCAGTTTTCTTCGTTTTGTTTGGTTTTAGAAAGAATTATCAAGTGCATACATGTACATGCGTAAGCTGAAAAAATAATTTAATTTTAATGGGATAAAATTACTTACCGAAGCAGGTTGATCATAGGAGACTGGTTTTGGTGAATGATGAGGGCTACTTTCTATATGTGCCTGGGGTTCATCATAAACTACAGGTTTAACTGGTTCTATATCAGTGTGTGTAAGATTCGAAACTTGATATGCTCCTATATCGGGAACCGGCAGCTTTTTGACCTTTGCCATCACCTTGTCGATATCCTCGTAGACATGTTCAGCGAACTTTCTGTCTATGGTGCGGCTCGCGATGAAGCGTGTGTCAATGAACTTGATGTCCTCACGGATTGCAGGATCTGCGTCAGAGCTGCCCTCCTCTTCCTCATCAGATGGGCACAGAGTAGCATACACCGGGTTCAATGGTTTCTCCTCCTGTTCTTTATCGCTGCTCATCATTGATGGGACACCCTGGACACCCTGGGCGCCGTCATCACCAAAACTGATCAGGTCATATTCATGGATGCTGTTTGTCTGGCGTTGGCTTGGAGGCTTGGACGGTGGCACTGGGAGTTGAATTTGACGGTTCCGTCGACGGTTGGGTTTCACGGCGACCAAACCCTTCTTCCCATCTCCGCTATCGCCTTGCTTGGGATTTACATCCATCAAGGACGTTTCTGGAGTGGCCTTGTCTGACGTGCTCTTTGTAACACCACGTTCATCAACGGGTCTCGGTCCTTTGAACTTAAAACTTGACAGTTCTCTCACTATTTCCTTGTTGGGTGGGATGTCACTCGGCGATTTGCTAACAATAATACTGACTTGGCACTTGTCTTTTTCCTCGACTTGCTTACAATCCTCATTCTCTGTCGCTTCGTTCTTTCCTTTGCTTGCGTGATCAGTGTCGTGGCTTTTCTTTTCTCTTCTTGAAAACCTCATACTCATACTCTTCCTGACGCGAGAAATCCTCTTTGTCATCCCTTTCCCTCCGTCCTTTCCACCACTCTGTCCTCCACCCAAATGCTCTCCTTCTCTCTCTCCATGCTGACCCTCTTCAGTCTCTTTGATCTTATCAGAGTCAGCACTGGGGAACACAAACACATGTGGCACATCTTCTCTGACAAACTGTTCCTTCTCTTTTGTTTGGTCATCTGCTTTTGAAAATCTACTTTCATCTGGAACAGTCGCTAATAGACTAGGCGCTGAGGATTTTCTGAGGAAATGGCTCGACATTTTTCTCCTAAGTTCGGGACTCCCAACAGCCAGAAGATTCTCATTCGAGGCAGATCTTGGACTTCTTTTCAACAAGACATCACTGGGACTCCTGGGTTTCTCATCGTCTTGGCGACTATTTTCTTCATCGATGCTTCCAAGCCTCGCCTCCATAAGCTGAATCTTCTTCCCTATGCCATCCTGCTTGGTTTCAAGTTCAGTGGTGTAATTGTCGTTTGCATCTTTCACTTTGGCTTTCCCCTCGGGACCTCTGTTTTCCAATTTCATCGAAGCCCTCTCGAATCTTTTGATCTTGCCAGAAATATCTTGCTGCTGTTCACCTGCCATTCCTACCAAAGTCATGTCCACGTTAAAAGTAGTACCTCAACAAGTTCCTCTATCCATGTAGTGTCACACAGTGGAGCTCTCAAACAACGTCTGCCCTGTGCACTCTTCTGTGCAAAAACATATTATTGCATTTATTGCAAATTCTTGGGACAATCAGTTCCAAAGTCCTGTTTGTTTTGAAACACCTAAATGTATAATTGTCAAGCCACTACATGTAGCTCTGTTATGTCAGTGATATCCAATCCTTCGACACTTAAAACAAACAATCTGTCCTCAAACACAAGTAATGAAGTACTGTACTAGTTACAAAATGGAGCACATGACAGTTACATAAAACCTTTCAAAACTGCTGGTAAACAAGTTCCAAAGTGATTTGCGAAATTCCAAAGTGGCTAGGTGTACTGCAACAGGGAACTAGCTGAACCTAAATCACCAACACAATGCAGAAAAATGGCTGGGAAAATTGTGAAGTCGGTCTATTCACTGCAAAGTTTAAGCTAGTTTTCCACCTGAGCACTCTCTTTGTATGACTCGAGTTCCTTTTCTCCAACGTCAACAACCAGGCTTGCTCGACAGGTCAGCCGCGATAGGAATCCAGAGGGGAATCGTCAAACCGGTGAAACAAAGCAAGAGTCTCCTCGTTCACCTGATGTAACTGATAGAGAGGATGCCTCTGGTAACGTCACCGATTCCTGGCAGCTTTTCGCTTGCACGTCTTCCCTATACTAACTAATTAAACCTCTCTCTCGCTCTCTATCCTGTCTGCTCTACATTTACATGTAGCACCTTAGTCAGACTTTGGATTAGTTCAACCCCTGTATTTTTGAGGGCAAACTTCCCCATTCGTTCACTAACTTTTTTTTTTGCACCCCAACATAGAAAAAACAAAATCTCTAGGTCGCAAAGTCCATTCAGTGAGTAAAAGAGTCCCACTGGTTTGTCACCCCATGTCATTAAAGGAACTACTGTCAAGTATTTATGTACATGCAAGCATGCCAACTATTTATATTTCCCCCAAAACTATGTCATTATTAGGAGATAATGAGGATGAGAGAGTCGATTACAGAAAGGTATTTCCTGTTATGACATGTACATGTACTGTTGTATGTAGCAGGATTACTTATATTTTGCCAAGCTTTGTCAAGCTTTGTCAGCCTTTATCATAACGACAGGATATATCTGTCATTTTTTAGAATTACTAGCACCTCCCTCACGATAAGATCAGTTGGTACACATTTACATTTACATGTATGTATCGTCTGTTGAGATTCAGAAGGGTGTTGGGTCCATGTAAAAGGGTCGAAATTAACACCCATCTAGCCCGCAACCCAGACATACAGTCTGGGTTAAGGTCTAAAAGTACATGTACCCAGGAATGTATAGAGTTGCATTTCTCAAATTCTTGTTTAATTGTGAGGTTGCAAAGAAACTTGCAATTTTAATCTGCTGCCAAATACTTTTCCACTTTCAAGACATTACTACTTATAAGATGTTAAAAAGTTTAAATCCCTCTTCAATATCTACATGTGTAAATTAGCAATATGATATACACATTTTGTATTGCTTTTATTCTGTTTATAAAACTTTTGCGAAACTTAACTGCTCCTAAAATTTGTGAACATTTCAATCAAGCAAAAAATCCTACATGTACATTCACATGGGTTTTTTTAGTACATGAGTTTTCATTTTATAACAGTGCGTATCAAAGTAGCAACAACTTCTAACAATTTGACATGAATAGTCAGAATATGAAAATGTTCACATGGCAGATACACACATTTTTTTTAATTTTGGTATTTATAAAAAAAAACATTGGATATGGCACTTGGAAACATACACTTGAAAACAATGCTATCACCCTTACTGGCCTTTAAATCTGTATGACTTTTTAAACTCTAATATATTTTTCTTTTTTCTGTGACTAATACAAGGGTTTTGCAGGATACACTATAAAAGAGTCACCTGAATTTTAAGGGTACAAATTACCAATTCCTTCTTGCTCTGTTAGTACAGTATATCCTGTTTACATTGACTTCAAAGTTCAATTGTGATTCCAGTATTAAGGAGATATTTAATTGCTGACTTTCACAACCGTGTGTGAATAAAGATTTGAAGATAACCAATCACCTAAAGAAATAATTTGCATACATGTACAATTACATGTACAGTTTAGAATGTACATCAACCTAAACAAAATTACTGGCGTGATATGAATATAGGACAACAGTACATTTAGAATAACATTGAAAAAAATGTTTCAAAAATTAAACAACTGCAAAGTACATGTGCATTCTTTGAAGCCTTGAAAACTATTATATTACACAACTCTGTGTGCTGAATCTTCTGGCAGTGACAGTTCATATTTTGAAGGATACCTACTGTAAATTTTTCTTTTGAACCCTTCTTCTGTTTCACTTTCACTGTTGTTATTTTTTAATATTTCTGTGACGATTGAAAGCAGCAAATAAATGTATCGAATGGTATGTTTTAAAATCTTAACCTCATATTTTGAGACCTTTCAATAAATTTGATCAAGTGTTTACAGTACATCTATTAAAGTTGAGAGTAATATTCAAGGGTCTTAGGAGTCTCAGCTTGCAAAATTGGACAATAAAAAAGACAGCTCTAGGAAACCTGAACCATCAAAGAAGTTGAATTCATGATAGAACATTACCAATTTGTTAATCAAATAATTAGTGTTAAAGGTAAAGACCAGTATTGGAAAATGGAAACACCCCAATTTCAAAAAATGAAATGGAAGCTCTCATTACCAATCATGTGAAAGAATATGTTTTGACTAAATACATGATGATAAAAAATTTGCCGGGAAACCGCCTACTAATTCATATATTTGGTAAATTTGTTTCTCTCATGGTCTGTGAGAGATATAGGGTAGTACCATATACATCTTTCTGTGTATAGTGCTTGTAACTTTACGAAGAATGGGCCAAATTTCTTATCATTTTGATTATTCCAGAACCTTGCAGATGCTAGATGCTAGATGATCAACCTTTTCTGATCGATTCCACAACGTTTCTTTCACAATGCAATCGCATGACCATAACTGGTCTTTACCTTTAATACACCTTTTATTTGCTTTCTTAATAGCTGATGATCTCCTCCTCCTAATTTTAATTAATGCTTTTCCTTTCTTCTTCCTCTCATCATGATCTATCTTTTTTATGTTTTTTACAGACTTGCTTAAACGCAGTCTTTTTTAGGCTGATATGAGTTTTAACGTGAATAAATAAATTCAATTCAATCTTTGATATCTCTCTCAGATTTTCTTTATTTTTCTTTCCTTCCCAATTGTGGAGGTAATCTTCATCTTCATCTATTTTTTCTTCCTTGTAATCTCCTTTTCTCCCTTTATCTTTTCCTCAGGACTTTATTTGTTGTTCTTCTTCTCCTCCTCCTCCTCCTGATATTCCTCTTCTTCTTCATCTTTCTCCTTTTTGTCCTTCTGCCTCTTCTTCTTCTTCCTTGTTCTTCATTTACATGTACTTCTAATTCTTGTCATCCCTTTCTTCTTCTTTCTCTTAACTGTTTCCTGATCTTTTCCTAATAATGTATTTATATTCTTCTCCTTTCCTCTTAATTTTCCTCCTCCTCCTTGTTCTTCTCATAGACTCTGAGTTGACACTTTACCCAAATTCCTCATAAAGCCTTGGGCAGAGCCTACACATGTAGCTCAGTCAGTCTCTGGCTGCATGTGTCTGGTGCATCTTAAATGCTGGATGCCATCAGTCCACAATGTACATGTAGTCTCAAAGTGCAGGATCTGTTTAATACATGTAGCAACTGGCAAGGGTCTGCGCCTTCAAACTACATGTAGTAGTCTTCTCCCATGTACAAAGTCTGTTTAATAATGCATGACAAGTTTAAATTTCTAGAAGCATGGTTCTGGATATAAAGGAGGCTAGGTTGTACGTAATTATGACTGTAAACTGGTTATTCTGGGCCCCATCTTACAATCGTAAAGTCCAGTAATCAATCGCAAGTTTGCAGTCTCCTATGTATGTACAATGTAGTTTAAGGCTGCGCCGGGTAGTCGAATGCTCGAGTACCCGCACGGTTGACAACTACTCGGGTACGATTTCTCGTACACAAATATTCAGCCAGAAAAAAAAAAAAAAAAAAAATATCCAGGCCCACGCTTACCCGTACCAGGGAGAGCGGCGGCCGCTGGCATGGTACCGTCGGTAAAAATGTTTCCCAACTCAAGCACTGTCAAACTCACCTTTCAGAAACTGGGACCAAATGTCCAGATTTCTGTTTGGACTTGGAGGAAAATGAATTATTCTGCCATCTTTGGTCTTTAAAGGCACACTGCACTAATTGTAGCTATTTGCGCCCTCTATATAACAAACAATGCCTAATCGGTGACCATTGGTCCCCCATGATCCTCTTTTTCTTATGTTAACTGAGAGCTGAGTTGATGAGATAATCACCTGTCCAGTGACCTTGCAGGGCGGTCTAATCTCTCCTGTAAACTATGGCAGATAAGCTTTAAAACAGCATTGTTTACTGTTATTATTCTTATTAAATCGGCGCCTTCAACTGCAACTCAAAGTAAAATTGCATGCGTTTTTTCGGCGAGGGACCTGGGAAACTGCCGAGTGGTATGGTAGTGGCAAAAATATGTAAGAAATTAAAAAATAGAAAAATAAAAAAAATTTAAAAACAAGGGAAACGCTCTCGGCGGTCTCGCCTGCATAACGCAATTCAATATGATAAACCAGAGCGTCAATGACGTAGCGCTCATCCGCATCTCGCAACAACAAATATCCTAAATTTTATGTGGTACACTTTTGAACTGGTCAAAAAATAAAAATTTGATGCCCTGGAAGGTACATAATTTCATTTCATTTGCATAAAGTACCATAAATAATCAATGGAGCAAAATCTCACAATTCTGTGTAGAAGTTTAGTGTTCCAAATTTAGCTCTACCAGATAAGGCAAACCAAATCAAAATCGGTCAAGAAATGAGGGAAAAGAAGCAATTTTTGTTATTTTTGGAATAAATTTTGCATAAATTACCATAATTAATTAATGGAGAACAATTTCAAAATTCTGTGTAGATGTTTAGTGTACCAAAGTTAGCTCTACGATATAAAGCAAACCAAATCAAAATCGGTCTAGAAATGAAGGAGAAGAAGCCTTTTTTGTGATTTCGAATAAATTTGCATAAATTAGCATAGATAATGAATTTCACGATTCTGTGGAGAAATTTTAAATCCCCCTCCTAGCCCTATCATATGAAACAATCAGAATCAAAATCGGTTGAAAAATAACGAAGAAGAAGCATTTTGAAAATCTTGATGTTGATGCCACAACAAAGTCTAAGTTCGTTGACCTTAAATGACCTTTGACCTTAACTTAGTGACCTGAAATTCTACTAACATGATTGGGGAGACTTGATAACCCTATAGTCCAAGTTTCATTGACTAAGAACTTATACTTTCAAAATTATATCAAAAATTCAAAAACTTAACCTTAGGTTACGTTTTCAATGATGATGCTACAACATAGTCCAAGTCTGTTGACTTGAAATGACCTTTGACCTTGACTTTGTGATCTGAAATTCTACTCACATGATTGGGGATACTTGATTACCCTATAGTCAAAGTTTCATTGACTAAGAACTTATACTTTCAAAATTATATCAAAAATTCAAAAACTTAACCTTAGGTTAAGTTTTTGATGTTGACGCCGCCGCCGTCACCGGAAAAGCGGCGCCTATGTCTCGCTTTTTTGATACGCAGGCGAGACAAAAATCTTCTTTCTTTTTTTTTTTAAATTAAAAAAAAAATCAAAAAAATTATAAAAAAATCATGGCGTCCGAATATTCGAGTATTTGATTGTGAGCCTGGGAGTGTACTCGGGTACCTCATTACACTGTTGTGCACAGCCTTAATTCAGTTGCAATTGATATCAATCGCAAATAACTTGTGATTGATATCAACTCTTTGTAAGACAGAGCCCAGATTATGTTATTATTTGGGAATTATTCTACAGGTGTCATTTACATGTACATGTACAGTACATGTACTTTACAGTACAGTATAATGAGGAAGTCAAATAAAACAAAAATATTTCACCAAGTACTAAAGTTTTAGAAAAGTATCGGGCCTGTCTCTCTCTGTACATTATTACCCAAAACACTTTCAACAACAACAATTTTTAAAAATGTCAATTTGGAGCTAATGTACTATACCAGAGATGCCAACTTTTGGAAATCAGAAATAGGGAGGATTTGTAATCGACACCAATTAATGTGCGCGTAGCGCACATCTCGAGCGCGTAGCGCCCGACACATGCGGCCGGGGTCCAGGGCCCGCCTTAGGGCCCTGGAAGCTCTGGGGTTCTAGATGCTCTCTGGTGCAATCTGAGCCTTATTTTGGAGCATTTTACATGTGTATTTAGTTAAATAATTCCCCCTTTTTTTTTAAATAACATAAAAATTGTACAAAATGCATGATGAATTACTTTCAGACT